ACCATTCGACCAGACAACAATCGACGCCACATTACGATCGCCGATTTGAGTACTAAATAGGTAATTGTGAAGCTTGAGGGCAAGCTTTTCTGAAGGGGGGGGTAGTGTCACGGATCGCACTCAATCGCAATGCGATCGCTCACGTGCGCGTACGCGCACGTGCACGATCACGTGTACATAGCTAGTATATAGGAGCGCTCTATGAGCGCTTTGCTCTCGATTCTGTAGTTGTAGATTCTAAGGATAAATTGTACCCTGCTCTCGCAGTTCTTCTAAGGCAAAGTGTCACATATATTCTCGAATAATTTGAATCTATTAGCTTATAGACAGATTTCAAGAAATACAAATTTAATATTAAATATATTAAGTATTTAGATTTTATTATCTTTATTAAGAGAATATAGATGAATCTAAAGAAAATCAAAATAGTTATTACTTAGACTTATTCTATTATTATAAAAGGTATTTAATTGTTTCTAGATTTTTATAACTTTTATTACTAATTCATTAAGGATTATAATATAATAGCAAAACCTTTCTATAAACTTATAAAAGTAAATATTAAATTCTATTTTAATAAAATTTACTAAATTACATTTAATATATTTAAAAATAGATTTATCTTTATTCTTTTTCTATAGTATTATAATTATATATTATTCTATATACTGGAAATCGATATATTCAATAATATAATTATTAATATATTATTTTAAAAGTATAATAACAAATAATTATTAGTTGTCTATTTTTCGAAAATGATAATTATTGTTAAGCTGAATTATAAAGTTTATAATAAAGAAATGCTTATAATTATTAAATTCCTAAGTTATTAGAAAGCCAAATTTACTGGATCCCTATATTAAATCAAAGTATATACTAATTATAAAGCTTTTGAGTACTTTATATTAATTAAATAGCTAAATATTTATTAAATATATTAAATAGAATTATTTACTAATTATAATTTCATTATTATATATTATATTGAAAAGAATAATCTCCTTATAGATATATTTATATACTATATTAATAAATTGAATTAATAGAATAATATTAAAAAAAAGAATTATTTATAATAGTTTATTAAAAATAATTAAATAAATATTAAAATTATATATAAATCTTTATAGTAAGATTTGAATATAGTTATAAATATTAATATATATATAATTATTTTGCTTTTTGATATTATAAATTGAATTATTAAAGTAAATAGATTCCATTCAAATTTAAAAGCTTTATATATATAGACTATTAAAATACATAGGCATCTTATATTCAAAAAAGAATTTTTACTTTATAATAATCAACTTTATATATTAGATATTGATAATCTATAAATCTATTTGATTTATGAAGTTTATAATTCAATTTCAATTATATATTCTGATGTAAAGAAAATATTTGCTTTTTTAACAAAATAATATTATTAGAATAAAATAATTCAAATTATAGAATAATATATATGGAATTATTATTAATATAAGTATAACTCTATTTTAAAAGATTATACTCCTGATTTTTTATATTTATTATTTATTTCAATCTAAATTTGATAATATATTATTATAAATTATTATAATTTCAATAAAGATAAATATGGTTATAATAATATATTTATTATAATTAATCGATTTATCAAATAAGCAATTTCTATATTATATTATAAATCAATTAATTTAAGAAATCAAGTTTATTTATATTTATATTATATTTATAGATATTATAAACTTCTAAAGTCTATAATCTCTAATTATAATCTTTAATTTATATTAATTTTCTAGAAAGAATTCAATAATATCTTAGAAATATAAGTCAAATATTTGATTGCTTACTATTTACAAACTAATAATCAAATTGAGATTTATAATTAATATTTTTAGTAGTATTTATAATCTTTTATAAACTATTATTAAGATGATTAATCCGAATTCTTATTAATAATAAACTATATTTAACTTATATTTTCATATAAATCTTTAAGTAATTAATCTTTATATAAAACTTTATATAACTATTTATTTTATAATCCTTAGAATTAGAAATCCAATTTAACTTTATTAACCAATAATCTAAATATAACTAATATTAAAGAATATATTAAACATAATAAATTAGTTTTTAATTAAGCAAAAAAGAATATTTTATATATATAAAAAAAGATATTTTGTTTAGCTAATTTGTATTATTAATTAATAGATTTTGATATTAGAGATTGAATATAGTTTAATATAAAAGACTTTCTAATATAATAATTTTTCAAGAAATTAGATTATTTTATTTAGAGAAGATTCAAGATTATTGGATATACTAAAGATTCTTTTAAATTAGATTTATTACTAATTATAAAAGTCTATTTAATATTTTTATCTAATAAACTTTATAAAATAGCTAATAATTCACTTTCTAAATAAATCCTTGAATTATTACTTTTAATAAATATTATTAATAATATTAAATAGGAAATAGAATATATTCTTATTATTAAAAAAGTATATAAACAATTCAAATATAGGATATTATAATTAAATACTAATAACAACTTATTTGATATTTTATCTTCAATTTAAAAACTATTTCATATTATTTCTATAATTTTTATCTACAAAATTTCATTTATTAGAATCTTTTATATATTTATTGAAATAGATTTACTTTTATAAGAATAAAAAAGATAATTACGATTTTATAGATAATAATCAATATATAAATAAAAAAGATTAAAAGAACTTCTTTAGTTTATTATTATAATAAAGAAAATCCTAATTTAATAAAAGGCTAAAAGCAATTAAATAAAAATTAAATTGTCAAGTTAATATAATAAAGAAAGTCTTTTCTTCTATTTAATAGATTTAAATCAAATTAAAAAAAAAAGCTTTTATAAATATTAATAATTATAATTAAATAAGATATAATAATAAAAACTAAATAGTTTAAATCAAAATATCAATTAAATCTCCAATCAATAATAATAATAAGAATATATATAATAACTATAAGTTTAAAGATAAGATAATTCTTAGTTATAATATATATAGTAATAAAATCAAGCTTATACTTAATTTTATTCAATCACTTATAAATTGTTAAAAGCTTTGTTTTTATTTGAATTATAATAAATTAGTATTATTACTTTAATTCATTTTCTTATTCTATAGTTTTGATTATATAATACTCTATATTTTCCTGAGTAAAGATAAAAGAAAATATTTCTTTCGAAATATGACTTTTCAGCTCTTTCTACAAATCGAGTTAAATAAAAGTTAATATTATTATTAATCTCAAGAATAGCTAATATTTATTTCTATTATATTATTATATTAAACTACAACCAATTGATATTAGAGAAATATCTTATAAGTATCTTCTTTAAACAAATATTTATATTTATACTTATTAGTTAAGTAAAGCAAATAATGAGATTAACTAAATAATTAACTAAAAAGTTAATAGCAAATATCATTTCTTTTATTAGAAATATAGTTGTATATATAGTTAGTATAAATCTAATTATTCTTTTAAATATATTATTCCTATTATAATACTATCTTCTTTAATAATTTCTTATTTAAAAATCCTAATTTATTAATATCAATAAAGCCAATATTTCTATAATAAATTATATCAAATTTATAATCAGATTAATTTTAATATAAAGCCTTTAAGATCTTCTCTCTCATTATAATGTTTTTATTAGCCTTAAGTTTACAAAAATAATATATTACTATAATCAATTTGTTAGTAAACTTTGTTTCATAATTTTCAATATAATTAATAAATAGATTATATTCTTTTTTTAAGTTTTATCTTAATAAATAATAAAATAGATATATTTATTGAGTATATTAAAGATCAATCCTATCTTCAAATATATTATCCTTAATATCTGTAATTGCATTTATTAGATAAGTTAATTATATATTGAAAATAAATAAAAGAAAACTCTATTTATATATATTTTCGTAATTTAGTTTATTATTACTATTCTCATTTTTATTAAAGTCCCTTCTATTTTTATTATTATTCAATTTCTTTATAGAAGTATACTTACTTTATATAATAAAAGGAATAAATCCTCTTTTTGCTATAAGTTATTAGAAAAATATATTAATATATTAAATACAAAAGATAGAATAAACAATTTATTACTATATATACTACTTCTAGCTACTTTAATTATATTAATAACAATTTACTTTTATTGTTATATTTAATTAATAATATTAAAAATATAATAATAATAAAGAATAAAGAAAAGTAAATAATTGAAAAGGGTTTTAAGAAAAAAATAGATTCAGAAGATTTATATATTTCAAAAGATTCAAGCTATTATTAGATTATAGAACAATTTCCTCCGCTTTTTATATACCTTTCTATTACAAAAAAGAAAAACTTGTATATACGTCTGTTTATTATATTATTCAATTAAACAACAATCAATATTATATTATAATTACTGATTCGAATACTAAATAGGTAATTATAAAGCTTAAAGATAAGTTTTTCTGAAGAAAAGAATAATATTACAAATTATACTTAATTATAATACAATTACTTATATACATATATACATATATACATAATTATATATACATAGCTAATATATAGAAATATTCTATAAGTGTTTTGCTCTCAATTCTGTAATTATAGATTCTAAGGATAAATTGTACCCTGCTCTCGCAGTTCTTCTAAGGCAAAGTATCACATTAATTATACTTTCCTTTTATAATATAAATGATTCTATAAGATTCGATTTAAATCGATTTTATTTATAAATTTAGAAATTACTAGAATTTACTATAAACTATATAAACCTAGGATATTCTTTAAAGAAACCCTGGAAAAAGTAAGCAAATTAGATATAATCTAATTATTTATATTATTTGACTTTAATTCTATTACTATTATATATTCGATTTATTTCTAAACTAAATCTGACTAAGTTTCCTACTAAATATTCTTATAATAATAATATTATATAAGAACTAACCTACTAAATGGCTACTATAAAATATGAGACGGATTATACGCCTGCAAATATTAAAGCTCTTGCTGATCATGTGTGGTTCAATTATGACCAAGCCGGCGCAATTTCGAGTGGTTCTTTCCATACTGATGGCATGATTATCATTCCGTGTAGCATGAAGACTTTGGCAGCCATTAGTTCCGGATATTGCGAAGATTTGATCGCCAGAGCTGCCAATATCATGCTAAAGGAAAGACGGAGGTTAGTCTCGGCAGCCAGAGAAACACTGTTGAGCGAGATTCATTTGAGGAATATGATAACGGTCACCCGAGCTGGAGCGATCATTTGCCCGCAGATGCCGGCATTCTATACAAGACCCAGTTCGATAGATGATTTAGTAGATCAAATGGTAGGGCTTTGCTTAGATCTTTTCGGGCTTGACACCGGAGATTTTAAAAGATGGAACGGACCTCCAATGTCCGAGTAGAAGTTGTTTGCGCGTGGAGCCCAGATTCGAATTCGAAAACAAACATGTAAGGGTCTTTAACTATAGAGATGTCAAATTCGGTAGCATTAGCAAATCAATCAAGAGGGTGCGAAATGAATACAATTAGAACAATAGAGTAATAGATGAAGCAATGTGGTATTATAAAATAGACAGATAGGATTCAATAGATAAAACAAGGGTCTATTACATTTACTCAAAAGTAGTGAAGTCATAAGAAATTCGGATTTACAGCTGAAATACGATTTGAAGAGCTACAGCAGATGTAATACTTCGCTTTCGCTCTCCGTCACTTTGGGCGGCCCTCTGTAGTAAAATATTGAAGTACTAGGATTCCATGAATTCCTCAAGTTTTTGATTATATTCCCAACAAAATCTAAATATATGCGATATATTTCAATGAAAATAATTTCAATATGACTCATTTGGGAAGAAATTTATTACATTCCAGTGTTTCCATATCTCTAGTAGTATACAGTATTTAATTCCAACCCGTATAATTCTAGTAATATAGAATTTAATAATGCTTATTGAAATATGTAATGTAAAATGTATATGTATCGCGAAAGTGAGGCGTTTATAAAGTACGTTACATACTATTCTAATAGCTATATCATGGCTATGAGCTTTTTCTAGGAGAACATTGTTGCGACTGTAGATGTGGGCGGTAAAGTTCAAGTTTGGCAGCTGGAGCGCTTTGGTACAGATATTTGCAAAGCGGATTTGCAATGAATAATGTTGATTGAATGATATTGATTGAATAATATGCCTGTATATACGCGTTGGTGGCATTTGATCAACCTGAAAATCTCATTCGCCTTTGTTTTCACGAAAGAAACACACAGAACATAAGTTGAACAATAAAAGACGGAACTTGATGCCAAGAAAACACCATACTCACCAACCATAGCAGGATCGAGCATTCTTCCCCTTTCAGCAGAAGTAGCAAATATCCCTAATGATTCTATATCAAACAGCGAAAGGAGCAGAGGCAACAACATTCTATAACCATTCGGACCACAAGCAATGAATCATTACTATCTTGTAATGCTAGCCCGATTTTCGGCGCGATATAAGAAGTGGAAGCGATCAGATATACTGGCCGACACCCAAGTCCATGTAACAATCTTCCCAAGAACGCAGCTGCTATTCCCTGGATGATCACGTCTGCGGTGATGGTGGCATTGATCAATTGAAGGCTAACATTCGTGCCGTGTTGAAGAAGAACACAAGGAAAGTAAATATTTGCGCTGATAGGGAGGGATATCATGGCTACACAACGATCAATGTGATCCATCGGGTTTTCAATTGAGGTAGTACAGGACAAGGTATCCTGCATCCATTTCAGTCATGGTAGAATCTTTTGTTCATGCCATGGTAGCAGAGCTTCGTGATCATCTTGAACCACAGCCGCAGAATTTACTGGGTCTTCATCCGACATTGAGGATTACCGGTGAAGCTCATTCTCAAGGTAAGGCATTCGACAGCATTTGAAATCGAAGAACCTTGACATAGATATTGCTTGTTAAAGGATAATAGTACGAGGAAAGCAATTTGGTAATACCAGTGTACATGAGAGAGCTCGAGGAAAATCCAAGCACCCACCCCACGTTTAATGCGGCGGTGCAATTGTGGCTTGAGGAATTGTCGCGAAACTCCATTCTAAACCGAGGCTCTTTCGGCCCTTGTAAAAAGTTTCATTAATCTACCTACCTAGCTCCTACCTAGTACATGATATGCGCGGCCAATGAGAAAGTCGGAATTGGAGCGAAACGGAATGTTTTCGTTATCTATTCATATTAGCCTTTCCAAGCTGCCTCGAGCACATATCGGTATCGTATCAATCATAGACCATGGTCCATGGTCCATGGGTGATGGTACGGGATGGCGGGCGTATGAATGCAACCTTATGATTGTTCCAAGGTTGCACCACAGACATGAAGATCGCAATTGGCGTAGAAAAGCCAAAGGCTTAACCTACTGTCTTATAAAATGTTTTTTGCCTTATTCTCGAGCCTCAATTGAAATCCTATTTTCCAAATGGCATGTCACCCCTCCTAAAATCTGCGGGGGAGGGGATTTCTCTTGTCATTCACTCTTGCCCATGTCGATGTCGATGTCTTAGTAGGGGCACGGACAAACTGTATTGGTGTAACTAACCGTTAGTTGGCTGGGGATCTTCTTGCCCGCTGACAATACATTTGATTGAGAGATAAAATATTTTCTTCGATTTTCTTCCCTAATTATCATCGTTGCTATCATGTCTTCTTCTGGTATTGAAGCACCCCATCCGTTTAATCATGAAAATATTGCTTCATATAGACAACCTACAAATGATGGGTACCTGAAAGAGAAGCACGAAGAAGAAGTACTTGATACCTTCTCTCCACCATATCATGACGAAACCATATCCATTAACCAGACACACGATTCCACCCATCGACAATTAAGACCAAGACATATTCAATTAATCGGTATTGGAGGGACAATTGGAACTGCTCTTTATGTTCAAATTGGCCATGGGTTAATAAATGGAGGACCGGGCAGTTTATTCTTGGCCTTCACTATCTGGTTTGTATACTCTTTCTAGACCATTGTCGAATTTGAAAAAACGGAATTATCATCTGATATATTGAAATGATAGGTGCACCTTCATATTGGCGGTCACAAATGTAAGTATTTCCTCTCGGTCATTATTCACCCTTCTAATTGTGAAAACTTCAGTGTATGGCAGAAATGGTAACTTACCTACCAATTTCATCTCCATTTATACGATTCGCTGGCCGGTATGTCGACGAAGCATTCGGAGTTGCTGCAGGATACAACTTCTTTATCTTTGAAGCCGCTCTTGTTCCATTCGAAATTGTAGCCTGTAATATCATCATTCATTATTGGAGCGATGCAGTTCCTGCTGGTGGAATCATTGCTATTGTTATAGTTCTATATGGGTATGCTACTTTGAATTTTCTTCTTCTGCTCAAGCCATTAACCGCCACTATCATAGTTTTATCAATCTTTTTGCTGTTAGATGGTATGGAGAATCAGAATTTTACCTAGCCATGGGGAAAGTTCTTTTGATTGTTGGCCTGATAATATTCACTTTCATCACGATGCTGGGTGGAAATCCACTTCATGATCGATTCGGGTTCCGATTTTGGTCCAATCCAGGAGCTTTCACCGAACTTTATAGAACAGGTTCTCTTGGTCGCTTCCTGGGATTCTTGCAATGCCTCATTCAAGCCTCATTCACCATAGCCGGTCCAGATTATGTCTCAATGGCAGCCGGTGAAGCCCAAAATCCTAGAGTTGTTATGCCTAGAGCATTTAATGGGGTCTTCTATCGGCTTACCGCATTTTTCGTTCTGGGGAGTTTGGCTGTGGGAATCCTAGTTCCATACAATGACCAAGAACTCAAAGATGCATTTACAAATGGTCTACCCGGAGCAGCAGCTAGTCCTTACGTAGTCGCCATGAATCGACTTCAAATTAGAATCCTCCCGGATATCGTTAACGCCATGGTTCTTGGAGCTGCTTTCTCGGCGGGCAACTCTTATGTTTATTGTGCATCAAGATCGCTTTTCGGTCTTGCGCTTGAAGGAAAAGCTCCCAAATTCCTCACCAAGTGCACAAAGGAAGGCGTTCCAATTTATTGTGTTTGTGCTACATTGGCCGTTGCATTATTGAGCTTTTTGCAAGTATCGAACAATGCAGCGGTAGTACTTCAATGGTTTGTTAATTTGGTTACTGCAAGTCAATTGATAAATTTCAGCGTTATGGCTTATACTTTTATATGTGTAAGTGATCCTCTTGGATTCTCAGAGTGGCTATGCGGGCAATACTGACTTGATGTAGTGGAAGAAAGCATGTGATGTGCAAGGACTTGATAGAAATACTTTACCACATACAAGCTTTTGGCAGCCATTCAGTGCATATTATGCATTGACAGGATGTTTTATCATGACTTTTGTCGGTGGATATACAGTTTTTCTGCCTGGTATGTCGAACATTTCCCCACTCTCTGACACCATCTCTTCCAACATGTCACGAATCCTTTTGGCCTCTGGATTGAAAAAACTAATTTTGTGACAGGTGCGTGGGATGTTCCAACTTTCCTCTTCTCCTATGCGATGGTCGGCGTCTTTCCTATTATTTTTGTCGGATGGAAAATTGTAAAGAAAACAAAATGGTTAAAACCACATGAGGTGATATTGAGAACTCAGGAGGTTGAAGAAATTGAAGAATATACGAGGAATTACGTTGAAAGACCTCCGAAGACAAGATGGCATGCTTATGTGGACAAAATCTTTAGTTAGTGCCAGGTCAAATGGGAGGGCAAAGAGTCCATAATGGCCAATAAGGCCTCGGTCGAGTTTAATTGTGATAATTACATTTTGCGACATCGATTCGCTTCTCAGGCCATGGCCAAAGATTAAATCGGTGTAACCAATTTATGAAGTTTCGGACCACCTGTGGTTGAGACAAAATGTTTGTGCGGGGCGCTGGATTTTCCGTTCCGGGGACTCTAGCCTGAACGCGTAGTGGCGAGCGTCAACCATAATTATTAAGCCTCCAACCATTTTTGCCGTCCTCGACGTTACTCTCTGCCAACAATTCGTGGAATCATTGATTGGTAAAGGTCAATGTACTTGTGCCGCAATGTCAAGATACTTTGGGGAAATGATGAGTGTGCGAGATGAAACTAAGATTTTGACGACGAATCTTCGAGCATGAACAAACAAGAACATACGCGATGACGATGATTGGGCACGCAACGGCGGGGTACTGTATCGAAGGCCTTGGCGGTAATACGTTGAATATCTGGTTTCAGGAGGCTGGGGAGGGTAGGATGATGGTGATGGTGATTGGAAGATAATACCAAGGCAAGGGGGGTTTCTGCTTGTAACACCCCGGAAGGTGGATGTCTCAAAGCATTAATCGTTTTCCAGAGTAGTTTTGCGCTCATATGCATTGTCGCTCTTGGAACAATATCAGGCGAGCATTGATGGCATTATTCTGCCAGTCGAACTGGTAGCCGCCTAAGCCTTTTCGTGCTCGACAATTAACGTCAAGTTAGATCTCAAAATGCTCAAGTGGGACGCAGGAACGCCAATACCATCAGTGGTTATTATTGAGTTGTCTTCCAAGAAATATCTGCTGGAGATGATAGATTCGATGAATGGATTTTTGAGTGACGCACAGATGTATGGATCAATCATGATGGAACTTTCGTATTTCGGGGTGAACTTATCATCCTCAGGTCAATTTGGCGGCGGACAAAAAGTCTTGCCGCACAATTCCTTCCATTGCCGCACTTTTCTTGCGACATCTCACCACGAAAAGTTTACCAAAGTTGGATGTTCATTCCCTAATAATCTTGTGTAGTATTGGCGTCGGGTTTCTTTTTGATTTGACATGAGTAATACTACCGCACGTGTGTTGCCCCTTCTCCCTTCTCCCGAGCCCACGCCTCAGATACTCAATCCATACAGGATTATGCTATTTTTGCTAGTTATTCCCACGCGATATTGATTACAACCTTTTTACCTTCAAAGGCTCTCAGCTCAGAGAAACACATGTCGTCGACGTGTTCATGTTGCAGAATGCATTGAATCCATTTTACTTTCGAAACCTTATTTTGAGATCAATTTTTACCACCACGAGATTTCCGCCATAAATATCAATTCAACGATGCACGATAGGATTGAAATTCGAGACCGCACTGTCTGAGTTTTTAATTGCCGTAATTCTTTGTTTATTTCTATCCAATCCCAACCAAGTATCTGGTAAAATGTCCCAGATCACTACCAGCTTCTTGTTTTCTATTGTAATAGTTTCATTGTTCTTCGCAACATTACTAATGAAACTAATTTATTTTCTCAAAATTTCACCATGTATCATTGAGTGTCCAGGCCCTTCGACTGTTCTCGAGGCGAACTAGAATAAAGGATGCAATTTTTGCTCGTGTGATCTGCAGTATTCATGATCTGAAACCTCCTCGTTAGATCGTAGGGACTTCCCGCAGATCACATAGTCATTGAAGGCGCCTCTTTCAACAATTCTGTTCATCTGTTGAGGTTCGAATTTGGTCTCGAACTAGTCAATCATGAGAATCTATTATCCTTTGTTCTCATGCTAGATGCATGCTGGTGATGAATGTTCTTCTTTAACTAATCTAGACTGTGTAATGTTGAGTTATTCCTTAATTCATGCTTATCCAAATACGTTCCATCACTGTTTACTTACTTGGAATTATCTTCATCCATCGTATTGTTTTTATTCTTGGATCTATCCCAAGCAGAAAGGAATCATGGCTCCAACGATCCAATTATTTAGACGCAAATCTCCTCTTCAAGAGAAGCTTGCAGAAATAGTGAAATTACCACACTCAGTCCTTATTACCATTCCCGCTGGAACGCCACCTCCAGGGGTTCAATCCCTTTCTGAAAACCCAGATACCCTACAACCGGTCATCATAGCAGTTTGTAGTCTCTTCTTTGCTCTTATGCTTCTGTGTTGTGCGATTCGTACATGGACAAAGTTTATGATTATGCGACCTGTGAAACTGCGCTGGAACGATTGTAAGTAATATATTCCATCTTTTACCACCAGCCAAATCGTTGTGACCTTGACTCTTTAGAGAGAAGCTGGAATGCTGATCAAACTTTTTAGTAACTTGGCTTCTTGCCTTGGTATGTACTGAGCTTGTCATAAAAGCCAAGTTTCTTACTCATCTGTAGCTCACCTCCATAACCTGTTATGTAATTACCATGATATGTAGGCTGTTTCATCTCTACTTAATGTATACTCAACTAACGATAGGCATAGCTGTCACTGGTCTGGGAACTGTAGGATTACATACATGGGATTATTCACTTGCTAGGTTGTTTACCAATTACAACGGAGTTGTACGTCTTCTTGGAGAGATTTTGGTTCATTCCTAACATAAAACAGGGATTCATTGTACCTACTTGGAACACCCCTTTGGCTTTTGGGCTCGTAAAACTTACGATTTGGCTCACTTACATTGAAATATTCACTTCTATGCGTTGGGTTAGAATTTCTTGTTATATTGGTGCCGCCATAACCTCTCTTTGGTATTTCCCAGTGGTCATTGCTACACTTGTCTGGACAACCCCACCGCGTGGCAAGAATTTCGTATACAGTTTAATTTCGGATGGAATATTTACCACTCAGAAATTGACTATTCCTATAGCAGCTTTTGGCTTAGCAATTGACGTTTTCCTGTTTGTTATACCATTACTCGCAGTAAGTAAATTACATATGGCAACAAAAAAGAAGTTAGGAGTAGGATTGATATTTGCTACTGGAGCATTGTAAGTTTCGTTTCCACACGAGGAAGAAAAATCCATGGATGCAGATACTAATATGAGAAAACAGAGCCATTGTTGCTTCAATTCTGAGTATCATTTATCGTGTTAGACTCAATCAGATATTGGACAACACGTGGGCTTTAGTGCCCGTATTCATCTTGACGTAAGAATCACAGAAGCTGAATATCATATATGCTAACTTCATTTTACAGTCTCGCGGAATTATTCATTGGTATGATTATTGCTTGTACTTGGCACATGTCGAAATTCTTCCGTACATACGACCGGCAGTCCGAAAAATTGGGCTCGAAAATTGCATATCTTTTATGCTTCAGATGTGTGAGAAGGTCTAAGGATAGGAAAGAATGCGAGAAATCCGGTAGAGGCAGTGAGGGTTCCGAAACAAACGTGGAATTATTCAACACAGAACGATGTAAGAAGCAACCTAAACTTTATCCTAATCTCGACGTTACGAATTTCAATGCAACTATACTTGAAGAAGATCCTAATGAAGATATTGAGCTTGCGAATAAGAATGGAGTAGCGAATCATTGATTCTATGAGAATCAAGATACCAAAAGAGGTCAAATGGTTGTATTATTTGGAAAGTTCGGGCTGATTATTATATACAATTTTTTAGTTAGCGACCAGAGCAGTCTAAAGTAATGTTTCAATTCGAATGAAAGACTCATGGCGCACAGTCAGCTTTGTTCATACAAAGCTTCGTTTCTTCTGAAATTGTATTTTCATACGTAATATTAACAATTATCATGAAATTGGTAGTCCTTGAAGAACATTTACCGGTAATAGGACATCCGAGTACACAAGTGTGTTTTCTTTGAAATCTTACAATTCAGTTTCAAGAATCAAATCTTCCTTGGATGTCTTGATATTGATGATATACAATATTAGTGTCTGTACTAGTATACGGTAGTATAATGGTGATGTATATTAAGCTTTCGATATGAGAGCTTGTATATATAAAAGGTAGCTATATCACTTATGTAAATATTCAATATATTGAATATTATTAAAAAGATATGGAAATATAGGAATTCGATCTAGAATATCTATTTTTATTCTAAAAAAGATTAGAAATAGGGATTCCAAGAAATATTTATAATTTCTAGTCTATTTTAGAAAAAGAATAAATATTCCAAATTGAATTTCTATGTTTCTATATTTTTCTAGTTGTATTTGATGTTGAAGCAATATTGAATATCTTTAGTGATATATAAATCGATATTATTTATATAAATATCTTCAAAACAATTGATACACACTACTATATGAACTAATATATGAAATATGAGCAATACTAGTAAGAACACTATATAATATCCATAATAATCCATATCTTCTCGTCCTCCTTATAAATCATAAGCACGATTATATATATACAATTCACCCCCTATGATAACAAAGTTAATATTCCGGACAAAGAGAAATTCAATATAAACCCTTATACAAATTTCTATTTCGTATATTATAATATTAATATATATATTTATTAATAATGAATAAAACTTTTTGTTATTAATAAATCAAATCAATTCTTTTTATAATTTATTTATTATTGAATTTCAACAGGAAAAAAGAAAATAAGGGCTTTATATAATCTTATTACTTTTGAATATTAGGATTAAAAATAAAGTGAATAAAAAGATATAAGTGTAAGAACTAAAAAGAAAAAGGAAGTAAGTATAGAAACTAAAAAGTAGATAGAAAGTATTAGTCGAAAGTTTAAAAGGGAGTAAACTTTTTTGGAAGTATATTATTTTCAATTTATTTTTTAATTACAAGTTTTATTATTATATTATAAATATATAATATATTAAATAAGCAAGAATTTGATTTATTTTCAATTTCTATATGAATAAATTTAAATTTAATAAAAGATTTAAAATAAAAATATAATAAAAAGATTAGTAATTCTTAATAAATTTAAATCGAAACATTTAAAAGAACTTTTCTATTATTTTATTGAAATCTAATAAAAAATCAATTTAAAAGGAAAAGAAAAGAAAGAAAAAAAATAAAAATAAAAAATAAATAAAATTTAAAAGTTTTTTATTCAATAGATAATTATTGTTTTGAACTAAAACTTTTAATTAATCTTTTAGAATTCAAAAAATTCATTAAGAGTTTATTAATTAGAATAAACTTTATAAAATATAGAAACTTAGATTAATAATATTAATATTTTAAAAACGATTTATTCAATATATAATAAAGATATTATAGAACTTATAGCAATTACGAAAGGATCACTTTGTCAACCACGGATTCTACCACCACAGGGACCTTCCATCCCCGTGATTTTCTCGGTCCGACAACAAGCTTCTTACTGGATTGGAGATAGTGTCAAGGGATATCAATTATGATTTTTTACACAATCTTCTTGGACTAGGCTGGGAAAATTGCAATGTTGGGGGGGGGGGAAGATATTCAGAATTCAGCTAAGCTGAACAATGAAAAGTGACATAGTATTCAATTACTTACAGCTTCCACATAAGAGACTTGAAACTGTTTATTGAATCATACTGGGGATCTAAGTATCTTTCCGAAGAACGCCATTGAATTCCTATTGGGGCGGCTTACTCTCCACAGCAAGAGGCAAGAGATCATGTATACACAAATGGACTACATCTGTTATATAAGGTCGTTGCATGAAAACCTTCCGTTTCTTGTATCGCGAAGTGCAAGAAATAAAGAGCTTCAAAAGCTTCCTGTGTGCGAAACTGAGTGCGACACACATAAACCTGAAGATCAACGTTCACAGGACCTATTTGGGAGATAGATTCCGCATGGTGGCAACATTTGTTATCTGAACGAAGCACCAATAAAAAAAAGATGCATCTTTGTGAATTGCAAACAAGTTTGTTACCCCAGAAGATGGCATTATCGTTAACAAAAACAGATGATGGTAGCATCCGGTATTAGAACGAAGGGTCCAAAAGATATATTATTGGTGCGTTGTGGGCTGCAAGTAACGTTCTCCTCTCTGAAAATTAAGCGATGTTCCAATTGCCAGATTACGAGTTCTAATGCGGATCAATGTTCGTCATACAGAAGCTCCATGATATACTGAAAATGATGCTAGCTGCTTATTGTGACGAATATCACGTGACATAGTAATGACTCATCACAACCCTAGTTCAAGGCTAGCTTGAACTAAGGCAATGATTATTATATAAGAGATAAAGAGATCCCTTAAGGATCTCTTTCCCTTTTAGCTTTTTTAATTCTAGTTATTTGACCTCTATAATATACTCTAGTATATAATCGTAATACTTATACCCTAGTAATTGAAGTAGTATAAGTTAGTATTATAGTAACTGATATTAAAGCCTTATATATTACGCTAGTATATATAAATAGCTGAATTATTCACTGGAATATATATAGGATATATTAGAGAATACTAGCTCTAGTAATAAGAGTGAATATATACACTAGTATACGAACGTATTATATATAGCTCTCGTAGTGTTACGGGAGCTGCCTCTAGGGTCACATAGAAGTGACTAGAGATCTTTTGAGGTGGTTTAGACTAGATTTTAAATAGGAATTCAATAAGGTTATAATTGATTACAATTTTTATAACTATAATAATAGAACTAATAATTATTCTCAAGTATAAAGCTTTATATTATAATAAAACCTATTCCCTTATATAGACCTTCATTCTCTATTATCCTATTAAGCCCATTATATTCCATCAGATAGAAGCAATAAAATCTGTAACACTTTGCCTTAGAAGAACTGCGAGAGCAAGGTACAATTTATCCTTAAAATCTACAACTACAAAATCGAAAGTAAAGCACTTATAGAGCACTCCTATATACTAGTTATATACATATAATCATATACATATATATATATATATATAAACAATTATATTGCAATTGAGTATAATCCATAATATTACCCCCCCTTCAGAAAAGTTTGCTCTTAAGCTTTACAATTACCTATTTAGTATTCAAATTGATAATTATAATATAGTATTAATTATTATCTAATCGAATAATATAATAAATAGGTGTATATACAAGTTTTTCTTTTTTGTAATAGGAAGGTGTATAGAAAACAAAGGAAATTGTTTTATAATCTAGTAATAACTCAAATCTTTTAAGGAATATAAAGTTTTCAAATCTATTCTTCTTTTGAAATACTTTTCAATTATTTACTCTCTTTTATCCTTTATTATTATTATATCTTTAATATATTAATAAAATATAATAGTAAGAATAAATTATTACTAATATAATTAAAATAGCTAGAAATAATATATACAATAATAAATTGTTTACTTTATCTTTTGTATTTAATATATTAATATATTTTCCTAATAATTATAATAAAAAAGGGTTTGTTCTTTCTATTACATAAGGCAAACATACTTCTATAAAAAAGTTGGATAACAATAAAAATAGGAGGAATTCTAATAAGAATAAGATAATAATAATAAACTAAATTACAAGAATATATATAAATAAAGTTTTTTTTATTTATTCTTGATATATAATTAGTTTATTTAATAAATACAATTATAAATATTAAGAATAATATATTTAAAGATAGAATTAATTTTTGATATACTTAATAGATATATTCATTTTATTATTTATTAAAACAAAACTTAAAAAAGGAATATAATCTATTTATTGATTGTGTTAAAGATTATAAAACAAAGTTCACTAATAAATTGATTATAATAATACATTATTTTTGTAAACTCAAAGTTAATAAAGATATTATAACAAAAAAAAGATTTTAAAGACTTTGTACTAAAATTAATCTAATTGTAAATTTGATATAGTTCATTATAAAAGCATTAGTTTTATTGATATTAATGAATTAAGATTTTCAAATAAAAGATTACTAAAGAAAATAATATTATAATAAGAATAATATATTTGGAAGGATAACTAGATTTGTATTAACTATATTCATAACTATATTTCTAATAAAAGAAATAGTATCTATTATCAACTTTCTAATTAATTATTTAATTAATTTTATTACTTGTTTACTTAACCAATAAGTATAAATATAAATACTTACCTAAAAAGAATACTTATAAAATATTTCTCTAATACCAATTAATTATAATCTTATATAGTAATATAACAAAGATAAATATTAACTATCTTAAGATTAATAGTAATACTAACTTTTATCTAACTCGATTTATAAAAGGAACTGAAAAATCGTATTTCGAAAAAAATGCTTTTTTTATCTTTACTTAAAAGATATAAAACATTGTATAATTGAGATTATGGAATAAGAAATGAATTAAAGCAATAATACTAATTCACTATAATTAAATAAAATAAAGCTTTTAACAGCTCATAAACAATTAAATAAAATTGAATATAAACTCAATCTTATTACTACACATACTATAATTAAAAGTCATCTTATCTTTAAGCTTATGATTATTATATATATTTTTGTCATTACTATTAATTGAAAACTCGACTAATATTTTGATTTAAACTATTCAGTTTTTGCTATTATACCTTACCCAACTATAACTATTAATATCTATA